AAAAAAAAAATCTGAATCAGATTTCATGGTCATATATGTTAAACATATAAGGAATTTACCTTCCCAGTTCCAACCCGTCCAGAGAAACAAAAACAGTTTGACCAATATAGCGAGACCCAACAGGAAGCCTGGCGGTTCTCTGTTCAGCGCCCCAAGTTCTTAGATGTGAAAGGAAATCAATAAGGGAGGAAAAAAAACAAACACTCGAACCATTCTCCTTAAAAACTAAAACCAACAAACCTGCTCTAAAAAAAAAATTCAAATGTACAGTAATCCCTCGTTTATCGCGGGGCGTACGTTCCAAAAAGAACCAGTGATAAGTGAAATCCGTGAAGTAGGATTTATAAAAAAAAAAAAAATGTGAGCTGGACGAAATTTCAAATGTGCTGTATGTGAAACATACAGCACATTTGACAAAGTTGTACGTTATAGTCAGCTTTATTTTTTACAGTTATTATACATTACTGAACTATGTATACAATGCAGAGGCGATTGCTCTAAGACTGCAAGGGAAGCTCAGCTTCCCCTAAAATGTCAAAAAGTAAGTGATCAAATATATGTGTGTACATACAATTGTGTGGACATGTCATTCACTAAATATGCGCCACAACGCGCTCAACTTTTGTTCCGAATCAGCTTTTCATTACTAGTTACAAGGCGACTCTCTTCTCATTCATTCCCGCAGCTTCACTGCCCTTTAAACTGTGTGGACACTGAGTGTCTACAGCGCGGACGTTGGGCGTCGAGAGAGTTCAGGGTAGGTTGTCGCAATGCATTGAAACGAGACGAGTTATTGGATAAATGCTGGTTTTGTTCCGCCCATTGGACGCTCAGCATCTCTGGGAGTCTATGGACAGTGGGCGTTTATAGGCTGGCCAGGAAGCTCAGCTTTTCTGCAGAATGATCGGATGATCGGTCTGAGGCTGAATCTCTTTTTGATTGACAGCGAAATGAGCCAATCATCGATCTTATGGTGAAGGCAACCTTCTCATTTTTTTTGAAAACGAAGAGTAAAATTCACATGTAAATAAACGGACACATTTTATGATGTAGGCCGAAATTGAGCTTCCTCTCCTTGACAGACCAGCATCCGCCACTGATACAATGAAACCAAAGACCAAAAATTTGCAAAGGTAAATTTGGCAAGCTGTACAGAGACGAGGTGCGGAGACTGTTCACGTCAGTCAGTGCCTTAGCCAATCAGGATGAAGAACGCCTTCACTGTTTAAAAGCATTGAAAAAAATTCGTGAAACAGCGAGGCCGCGGAAAGTGAACCGCGTTAGAGCGAGGGATCACTGTATATGAAAAACAAAAGGGGCGGCATGGTGCTCGACTGGTTAGCACATTGTTTTTCTCCTGGTACTCGGGTTTCCTCCCACATTCCAAAAAACATGCACCGTAATTAATTGAATGCTCTAAATTCTTCATAGGTGTGATTGTGGGCGCGAATGGTTGTTCGTCTGTGTGGTCTACAATTGGTTGGCAACCAATGCTCGGAGACAGCTGTATAGGCCCCATCACACCCGCGACCCTCGTGAGGATAAGCGGATTAGAAAATGGATGGATGGGTGGATGGATGAAAAACAAAAGGTTGAGCTCAATAAAAACTAACTATCATAAACCAAGTGCTTAACAGCAAATGTATTTCTTAGTGGGCCTGTGACAACCCTCACAGACGTCAAAAAAATATCTATTTACAAATAGGAATCAAAAAAATTATGTGATGAGCAGCAGTTCTTACAGTGCCATCAGAAAACACATTTCCTACAAGAACTCAATAAAACCAATAGAAATTGAAATCAAAAGTCAAAATTCTTTTAAAAACTAACTATAATGGAAAAATCCTCAAGTATTAGAATCCAGACACAGTCACAACTTTGTTCATTTGTCCAGCTAATTGTTATCTGTTATTGTTACACAGAAACAATATAAGCATATCCGAAAAAAAGAGCTTTTCTGTCAGATTTTAGACAGACACCAAAATGAGGGAAGATGTGTTTTACCTCAATATTTTGAACCAGCAGGACAATGTGTGAGAAGTCTGTAACCTCAGCAGAAGCCTCCAAAACCTGAGAGACCATTCTCCTCCAATGTGCAAAGAACAGCAATGGGTTCCTGAGTGTGTTTCTGAGGCCAGATTCAGACTCGGAGCACAATTTTGCAGCTTTGCATTTCACACTTAATAGAAACACAAATTTGACAAGCTTTTACAAGAGATGAAGAAATTATAATTAGAATATGTTATTGTATATTTTGTAATATATCAACACGTCTCTCTCTCTCTCTCTATATATATATACACACACACACACACACACACACACACACACACACACACACACACATTTTTTTTTAAAGACTTGATGGAGCAAGCGAGCCCGTCTCAGCTGCCGAGAGCTTTCGGCTCCATGTGAACAGCGCAAGCCGAGGACACGGTCTCCGGGGGCCTCAAGTGCCACTCCGCAGCTCAATGGGCCCAAATGCTTTCATCGAGCGCTACTTAACAAGAGACGCAAAGCGAACGGCGGAACCCCGCCGCAAAAGGAAATCAAAGTCGCCCATTCCGAGTGAGAGCTTTTGTTCAACGCGGGAGGAGACGTACTCGCTCGTTGCGGTCGGCGCAGAAGAGGCGGGTGTGGTGGCGTTTTTGCACCACGATGTAGGTGATGCCTGGCTGGTACTCCTTCTCCAGGCTGATGCAGGCCTCGCGGATGGCCAGCAGCTCGTAATACAGCACCTAAACAACAAAAAGGCATACATCACCAAACAAGAACGTACGGTATTCACAAACGGTGAGGGATATCTGGCCGCCGGGCGAAATGTCAGGATGAATTGTAAAATGCACTCCAATCTTTACAGGGGAACTTCATTGGACCATCTCTCATCATCAAACTGTTCAGCGTTTCAGTATTACATGCACAACTTGCTCTTCTCTAACAAGGTGCTATGAACAGCAACATTCATAACAGGTGTTTGTTTGATCAATGACAATTTCCAAGGATGGTCACTTCTCTGCCTTTCGGTGACTCCTCCAGTTTCTCCACGGCAACCTACGTGAGCTGAGTCAGCCCGATGGTCGACTAATTAGCCTCACGGCGCAGAGGTGCAGGGTTCGATTCCGGCTCCGGCCTTCCTGTGTGGAGTTTGCATGTTCTCCCCATGTCTGCGTGGCTTTTCTACGGGCACTGCGGTTTCCTCCCACATTCCCCAAAACACGTACGGTAGGTTAATGGAACCCTCCGGATTGTCCCTCGGTGTGACCGTGAGTGCGAATGGTTGTTCATCTGTGCGTGACCCAGTAATTGGCTAGCAACCAGTTGAGGGCGTCCCCCCCCCCCCCTACTGCCCGAAGACAGCCGGGATAGGCTCCAGCACTCCCGCGACCCTCATGAGGAGAAGCGGATGAGAAAAAGGATGGATAATTTCATTTGTGCTTGTGGCTAAAAAGCAAAGCCAAAAACATTTTCGATTCATCCTGAAATTTCACCCCAATAAATAAATTTCTAAATGGATCTCCCTCCACCCCGCTCCGCTGCTCTCCACCCCTCTCTCTCTCTTCCTCCCTCTCCCCAACTTTGAACCTGACCTGTCTGAACTGGCCTTCAGACACTCCATCCCTGTAGAAGATGATGCGGGTGGGCTTGTAACGTGTGGACTTGTAGAACTGGATGAGCAGCTCGCGCACCATGGAAGCCAGATCTTGGATCACCTCCTGCCTGGGCCTCTGCACCCGCACGGTGGCACAGTAGCGGCTGGGGTGGGCGTCCATGCTGCCCACTACCTGGTGGGGGAGACAAAGAGCATTGCATCACTCGGGGACATTATAAGTGTGAGCTTGAGAGACTGTCTGTTCTCCGGCAGCAGGGGGTGAGCAAATGAAACTTACTGCTGCAATCGAGGGCTTCTTGCCATCTCCGGCAGGCGGATGTGTCACATCAGCTCCCAAGAAGATGACCGGCTGCTGAAACACTGACGGCCTGCAAAGAGACGCGCGCAAAATGAGCAGCGGCCATTACCCAAGGGCGCCTGCGTTCAAGAGCCAAAGAAGCGAAGGTTTGTTTACCTTTGGTGCGGCACCAGGATGTTGTTGATGCCCCCCAGCTTGACGTTGATCTTGAGGCAGAGGTTGGAGAGGGTCTGAGGGGACGTCTTCACCACGTTCTTCACCTGGACGCACTGCGTGGCCATCCCCAGCAGGGTGTCCCCCACGCGCTTCACCTCGGCTAGATTTGGACATACAGCATCAGCTTACACGCTGAGCACAAACAGTGAGGGCTATTCGCGGTTGGTCCGGCAACTTTTTCAAGGAAGTCCACTTTTCTGACTTCGTGACTCTTCCAGTCTCTCTCCGTTGCAACCAGCTGATGACCCCCTGAGAGACTCTGAGCTCAGCGGTCATTTTTGCTTTGAGAACATCCCGTTGGAAGCCTCGCTAAAGCTTTGATGTCACGATGTCCAAAGCATGATGAAGGGAACGCTCAACACCAATTCTAATTCAACCAGGAAATGTATTTGCTAATTCTCTGGCTGCTCGTCATCTTTTCCAGACAAATACTATTTAAATAAATTCTTTTTGTCGGCACTTCAGGTGGACAACAACTGTGGTATAATACAGCTCGTCAGGTGAATACAACATCATCTTACCATAGACGGGGGTTTTGCCAGGCAGAATGACAATGATGAGCTGTAATCCGGCGTAGGTGTTCTTCAAGTGTCTAAACATGGGCTCGACGCTGTCCGCTCCCTGGGCGTACTTGCAGAAGCACGGCTGGCCCTGGATGGGCATGCCGGCGTCCTTGGAGATCTTGCGGAGCTGGTCCGTGAAGGCCCTAAACAAACATTGTGTTACATGACCAAGTCGCCGACAGCGTCTTTTAAAAGTGAACCGTTTTCACTCTTCCGACTTGAGAATGTCTTCCCGACACTGGCGCTGCGTGGCGAAGCAGGCGATGGCCCACATCTTGATTTCTACGCCAGTGTGGAACTGCTTGCCCCTCATGTCCCACACGCCGTGACTGGGCGTGGCCACTGTGCGGTTCTGAAATGACAGGTGCAGTCTCACCGTGTGTACTTGTGAGTCGTGGACTCAAACAAGCAGACGTTTACCAGCTGGAACAAACACACCTCTCATTCAGCAATGCATCTGGAAAGAATTCAAAGTCCTTCACTTATTCCAAAACATTGTTTACATGGTCATTA